AGAAAAAAGGTAGTGTAATAGAATTCTATATTAATATTACTTTACCGCCTTTCTACCATGCTACGCTTGAAGTTTAATAAAGACAAATGGCAAAAGACCGCCTTGGCTTAACCACGAGATCTTGCATGATCTAAAAATAAAAAGGAGTCATATAAAAAATGGAAAGTAGGACAAATTACAAAGGATAAATACAGGCAAACAACACAGGAATGCAGGGCAAGATCAGAAAGGCAAAGGCACAAAATGAGCTTAAACTAGCTACGGGAATAAAGGAAAACAAGGGGTATGTCTACACTACCCCGCTAGTTCGAACTAGCGGGGTAGTGTAGACATACCCTGAGGCAGCAGTAGATGGTGTGACACTTTCACTGGCTGCAGGAAAATAGCTATTAGAATGAGGAACAGAAACTGAAGGCAGCAGGGAGGTTTTTGTATTGGTCTGTATCACTGTGTGCCAGTAGCTTGACAGTAATAATCTCCAGAATCATCAGCTTCTACTCGGCTGATGGTAAATGTGAAGTCAGTGCCTGACCCACTGCCTGTGAACCGGTCTGGGATTCCAGAGGGACGGGTGGAGGCGCTGTGAATGAGGAGCTTTGGAGCTTGTCCTGATTTCTGTTGGTACCAGGCCATGTAGCTGCCAACACTGGAACTGGCTTTGCAGCGGATAGTGACTGTGTCTCCAGGAGACACTGCCAGGGATTCTGGAGTCTGAGTCACCACAAGCTGTCCTTTGGCATCTGGATGAGAGGAAAACATCAGTAAGATTAAATGAAATACAATGAAGATGGCCAAACAATAAATCCCCAAAGCTCCAGTAACTAATCTTCATGTAGACAACCTAGTTACATTCAGGCCTGTGCCAAATGGAACTGTATCTCTCTGTGAGTTCATGGAATGAAGAAGTAACCTGGGGTTGAAGAAATCCGTGGTGATTAAATCATGCGTGAGAGATTGCGTTAATTTCCTATGATGATGATCTTACCCTGAATGCAGAACACAAGGAGCCAGATCAAGAGAGTCTGTGAAATCATCATTGTCCCTCTAGTCTGACAGACACTAAGGCATAAAGTCTGAGAAATAATATATAGCTGCTGTGCATTGCAAGGAAATACGCTTCGGCAGAAATATGCAAAGCATCTTCTGCATGTAAATGTGCTTTGGATGTGTCCATGTGCACAGAGTACAGAGAAAAGGCCGTGTACACTTTACAGTCTTTGATCTGAGCATGCAGCTCCTATGGATGGAGCTGAGTATTGCTTGTGTCAGGCTGGCTGTGGCTCCTGTTATCAGTATATGCTTTAACGCAATACCCAGTGTGCATGTCTGAGTCATTGGTTACTCTGAGCCAGAATCTGAATAGCCTTTAGTTAGATTTTACTTTGTGAGTCCTTCTGTTGGTATCAATTGTACAGTAGGACCTCAGGGTTACGAACTGACCTGTCAACCACACACCTTGTTTGTGAGTGGAAATGAGAGAGTAGCAGATACCAAAGAAACCCAAACCACAAACACAGGACAGTGCTGTGTTATATGAGACTACTTTACTTAAAAAAAAAAAATTAAAAAAAAGGCGGGGGAAGAAGGATTTTTGTTCTGTGTAGCAGTTTCAAAGCTGTATCAATCCATGTTCAGCTGTAAACTTTTGCAAGTACTGTCAAGTTTTGTTGAGAATGTTCTGAACAAGCTCCATTTGCGAGGTGTTTGTGCCTCTGAGGTTCGCCCGTACTGCTGGTGGCATGAGCTGCAAAACAGCATCAGTTGATCTGCCACTTCTGCAACACACTTTGTTCAACACTAATATGAGGTTCCATGCCAGCCATTTTATCCCCATTCTTCTCTCAAGATGCTTGCCTGTGAATATAGATTGGGATCTACTGGTAGATCCTCTGAGAGGTGATCCTGACCGGTTTGATTGGGATGCTATCAAGTGCTGGCATTTCAGCTGCCGTTTCTTACTCCCCTGCTGTTCCTGCCCTTGGCCTTGAAGCCATCCCCCGGGAACCTCCTGCTTGCTATGCAGGATGGGAAGGCAGAAGGGAGGGGCACTCATGTCAGTGTGTCTTCCTCCCTCCACACCTGTACCCTATCTCTACAGAGTGAGCAGGACAAGGTTTTGGAGAAGGGGCAGGGAGGGGACCGGACTAAGGGCATTTGGGTTTGAGGTAAATTCTGAATTGACAAATTCAAAAAAAGTGATCTTGTGTTTAAAAAAGTTGGAGACCACTGATCTAGATGGGACTTGGTAGAGATGGGAGGGAGAAGGGTGAGGGAACGGACTTGATGACCTCTTGAGGTCCTGATGGTTCAGTGATTATTCTTGGGTGATACTGGCAGTTTTTCTATCTCTGTTTTAAGTACCCTGCAGATCTGTCCAGGACGGCTGGGTTTGAAATACCCCCAATGTTCTATTTAACGAGGTTAAACATTATGGCTACATCTAGACTGGCATGATTTTCCGCAAATGCTTTCAACGGAAAAGTTTTTCCATTAAAAGCCTTTGCAGAAAAGAGCATCTAGATTGTCACGGACGCTTTTGCGCAAAAGAACTTTTTGCGGAAAAGTGTCCGTGCCAATCTATACGCGGTTTTGCGCAAGAAAGCCCCGATCGCTATTTTCGCCATCGGGGCTTTTTTGCACAAAACAGTCCTGAGCTGTCTACACTTTTTCCCGAACGGGAGCATCATAGTATTTGTGGAAGAACATTGACAATCTTACATCAGATCGTTAGTGTTCTTGCGCAAATTCAAGCAGCCAGTATAGACAGCTGACAAGTTTTTCCTCAAAAGCAGCCGCTTTTGCGGAAAAACTTGCCAGTCTTGACGCAGCATATGTTACTACACAGGCTGCTTGCAATATTCCTACATGGTACTGCCAGAAGGAAACCATCATCTTTTAAGAGTGCTTGTCTTATCAACCAGTGAAACTTTTGTATCTACTCTGTGACCCTGGTCTCTCCCAGGGCATGTCTATACAGCATCTGCAGCTGGCCTGTGCCAGCTGACTCAGGCTCCCATGGCGTGGTATTGCACGTAATGGCAGATGTTCTTTTTGGTCTTCATCTCCCATCCCTCCCAATCATACACCTCTGCTGAACAACTTCTATAACAACATCTTACATCAGACAGTTGGGTGTGGGCATAGTCTCCTCTCCGCGGGGCATTGGGCCTTTGTTGATATTAGAAAGGTGTTGCTGGCAGAGTTATACTGGTTGAAGAGTACTAGCAAACCATCCTCATTTGTTTGCTGTATTCAGGAGTTTCTTGCAGCCCCGTTTACACCCATTCCCCTAGACACACATTCCCTCCTGTCTGAAGAACTTTGATGGCTGCATAATCACATCTAGTTCTGTTGGTCAAAAAATCAAGGTGATAGGGTGGGTCACAGAGATCCACTTGAGACTGTATCCTGATGGGCTGATCATGCCAGTGACACCTGCATCCCTGTTCTCTGGGTCACCCCACCATCCTGACCAGCTGAGACAAAGCTCTGATTTCCCCCAGCAAGACACAGAGTTGGGGTCACAGACACTGCGAGCGGGTCACCTCTGGGAGGGCTCAGTCCCAGGGACAGGACACAGCACTGAAGTGCACAGCCCGCGTGGGACCAGCGCCCCAGATCAGTCCGTCTTACTCTGCAAAAAAGTTTTATCTAGAACCAGCTCATCAGTCCTTTTCTCCTTTTATCAATGGAGGGGGATGAACAGCTGTTGTCTCCTCCCCTTTATAACTCTTTGTAGTCTGCGCAACCCCTCACTCAAATGCCCCATGTAGCTGCTACCTCCCCTCTAGCAGGAAGGACACAACTTCTCATGCAGCCTGCCACTGGTGTCATGCCGTGTGCACCAGCCTGAGCGCTGCTGTAGAGTGAAGTGAGTCCTTTCCTCCAGGATTCAGTCCTGCTGCCTCTGCAGCCTGCCCAGCCCTCAGGATATTGGCACTGCTCCTCCAACATGGCAACCCTGCCATTGGGCACTGAGTCCATCGTGAAATACACAGAGGCAATCTGAAGCACCAGTAAGTGTCCCGTTAGGAGGCTGGGGGAGGCCATGAAATGATTGAAGGTTGTGGGGGATCACATTGTTCAGCTGATGTAAAAATCCTGCTCTAGGCAAGAACATTTCTTTAGCCGGAAACTCATCTGGTTTGTGCGTCTACTTTGTATGTGTGGGGCAGTGGGCAGACAGAGCCTGTGTGGTGCTGAAAAGCTGAGCAAAACTTTCCCCTTCTAGACTAAAAGTCAGGGAGTGTAAACAAATGTAGCAGCTGCACTAAGCAGGTCCCTGCAGGACTGTGACTCTGAACCTAACAGCATAGGTAGGTTTTTGTGCTGCTCTGCATCGCTGTGGAGTGGGGTTTCATAGCCCTGCTGACAGTAATAATCTCCAGCATCATCCACTTCAACCCTGCTGATGGTGAGAGTGAAATCGGTCCCAGACCCACTGCCACTGAACCGGTCTGGGATCCCAGAGGCGCGGGTGGAAGCGCCATAGATGAGGAGCTGAGGAGTTTGTCCCCTTTTCTGTTGGTACCAGGCTAAGTAGTTTCTGCCCCAGGAAGTAAGGCTGGAGCTGGCTTTGCAGTTGATGGTGACTCTGTCTCCTGGAGACACTGCCAGGGATTCTGGAGTCTGAGTCAGCACAATGTCCCCTCTAGCATCTGGATTTAGGAATAATATGTAATTTAGTGTATTATAATATTTATAAAATATCACTATAGTGACGGTCTTTATAGAATTATTCTAGCTCTCCACCTGACCTTCGTAACAAAAATAAAACTTTAATTTTAACCCACTTTCTCTGTTGCTCTTGAATTTCTCATACGATTTTATTTCTTTTAAGGTAGTTTTAGTAAGAGAAACATTTTCTGAAGTCCAGCCTCTTTAGACACTTTTTTTGTATTGGCTCAATCAGTAGCTCTTTAGGACAGAGACCATCTTTTTATGATCCGTCAGCTTTGTTTGAGGCATTGTGCAATCTTGAGGCCTATTTTGGCCATTGAAGTACTACTGCATAAAGAATTAGTAAATAATTATTTTAACTCAGACAGTTGCCTCTTGGTTTGATCCTTACCCTGGACCCAGAACGGTAACAGCCTGGTGAGTGGCGCTTGTGAGATCATCTTGATACGTCTCACTGCCCAGATGCTGATGACCAACTCACAAGCAACAGGATGATTTATAACAGCTCAGAGCTGCAGAGAAAAACCACTTGGGTGGAAATATGCAAATCTGTGTAGGATGAAAATTCAGGTGCTTGATAGAGATGCACAGAACCAGAAAGGGCCCCACTAGCTGAAATAAACAAGTTCAACCCCCTAAATTTTAGGGAGCTCTGTCATGAAGGACTAAAATGCCACTTGTCAGGGGTGACTGAGAATAAGCATTCTGTGTTCGTCACCCTTGTCTAGGTCAAAGGTTTTCCAACTTTTTTCTCGTGGCCCCATTGAATAAAATTGTTGATGCCCACGGCCTCTCAGAATTTGACTAGAATGTGGGCTCTGGGGTGAGGCTGAGGATGAGGATGAGAGTTTTGGAGTGGTGGAAGGGCTATGGCTTTGTGTGTTTCAGGGCTCGGGTAGGAGGCACTTACCTTAAGCAACTTACAGTCACCAATGCCACAGAGATGCTAAATTAGGCTTGCTGCCTCTCCTGGTACCCAGACCGTGCTGCACCCCAAAAGCAACTTGCAGCAGGTTTCTAGCAAATGGAATGTGGAGCTAGTGCTCATGGCAGAGGCAGTGAGCAGATCCCAATCCACACTCACACCTAAGAACCGGTCCTGTTGCCAGCCTTTTCTGGGACGCAGCACAGTCTGTGGTGCCAGGAAAGGCAGGTAGTCTGTGTTACTGTAACCTACACACCCTGTGTGGGTTTCTGAGCAATGCAGTGGTACTGAGACCACAGCAACAGCTAAGGTCAAGAGACCTCCACAGCATGGGCTGTGAGCCAGCTGGCTTTTAGCTCAGAGGATGGAGGTTCCTTTACTCAGCTCCAGAGGTCCCAGGTTCAAATCCGACCGGTGGCAGTTACATTA